TGTTGCGTCTTGAATGAAGTGTAGCCTCTGTGGCATCTGTCCCTTACTGGTGATCACAGCCACCAGGAGGGTGAAGCTGAAGGCGGCAGAGAGGGTTTACCAGGACCGGGTCTGGGGTGAGGTGCTTCGGGCTTGGTGGAGCCCCAGGGTGCTGGCAGCTTCTGACATCACTTCACATGCTCCCATCTCCAGCCAGCACCTCCTTCCCGGAGTTCAAGGCACAGACATTCTACTGTCTCCCCAACAGCTGTGCTGTCCAGCCGGTGTTTCTGGCTCTGCACGCTCAACTCCAAGTTCACAGACTGTTCTTCAGCATTTCCTACCTCACATGGTAGCGCACCCTTGACTCCTCTGCCCCCTCCCTGCATCAGCCAGTCCCAAGCCTACCTTCTTCCCCCACCACCTGTCCCACACTGCCATGCAGTCAGGACCTCCCGGCTGGTCCCCCTGCACATGCCCTCTCTCTCATACGCACAACCACTGCAGGAGGTGATGGTTATGGTTTCCAGCATCACACACGAAAGGTCACGGGGCTCCGAGAGGCTGGAAGACCAGCTGTGGTCACACAGGTGCTGGGAAATAGCACTGGGATCCAGAGCCGGGTCTCTCTCACCCCCGATTGTCTCACACTGCCTGGTAAGACACGGGAAACAAACAGTGCTGGGGGAGCACGCACGCAGGACACATCAGGAGCACTTGTGGGTCCACTCTCCGGATTTTCCTTGTGGCTTGCAAAGGTACAGGTTGGATTTGTGACTCTCACACCTCTGCTCTGTTTTATTTTCCCCTCATTGGTGCTCACACCCAGCCAGAGCTCCGGGACACTCAGCATCTCCCTGCTGCCTCTGTCACAGGCAGATGACATTTCCTGGCCCAAGCCACAGTTACTTTTGCCTTTTCTCTGTGTCCACACCACTTACAACACCAGAAAGAGCTGCAGGCAGCATGGGATGTCGGGATAGCTAAGACCAAAACACGAAGACTGAGCCTAGGGAGGCTGCCGCCTTTGCATGGGGGTCCAGGACCTCTGAAAGTGGGCCACGGCCAAGCAAGTTGCTGTGGAGACAGACAGACAGACAGCTGGGGTCCACCAGCTGGAAGGACCTAGGACCTAGAGGAGGGGGAGATGAAGGGCACCTCTGGGGTGGAGCCAGCCTGCTCACAGATCCCTCCGGGCTGGGGGGCCGGGTGAAGGTGATTGCTGGAGGGGACACGGTTGTTGGCCCGGGAGCCCCGACTTTGCTTCTGGTCCTGCCTCTGCCTCTTACAGAGCTGTGTCCTTGGCTGGTTGGCTCACTTCTCTGAGCCTCTGCCACCTCATTTGGGAACAAGGAGATAACATGTGGCTATCTCAGAAGGGCAGGTGCACAGCTAAGGGAAGCATTGGGTTAGGGAGGGCTGGTTTGTTTTCTTTGTTTTTAATCGAGGTGAAACTGACGTAAGATAAAAATCAACCAATTTAAAGGGAACACTTCAGTAGCATTTAGCACATTCACGGTGTTTTGCAATCATGACCCCTCTCTCCATCTGGCGCATTTCACCTCAAAAGGGGACCTGGTGACATTATGCTCGTTTCCACACCCCCTCTCCCCCCATCAAGGGAAGGGTGGTCTCTTCTCAGCCTGGTTCCTGGCACTCACCTGGAGTTGTTCAAGTTCCCAGGAAGGCTTTGGTAGCCCGCAATTATGACTCCTGGACACCTGAAATGTCTAGTTAATCCAAATAAACCTTTACCAAGCCTCCCAGATGCAGGGCAACTCATGGGAAATCACTTTAAAATTGTACCACACTTTATCCTGGTGAAGGATGTGAGAAGTCTGGCTGTAATTAAACCTTTGAAATTTTATTTCCTGTGTCCCGCTCCTGTTTGACCAGGGAACACTTTTATCTCATCGAGGGGGGTACCCCATACCTCTCTGCAGGCCACCATTTCAGGGCATCGTCTGGGAACTGCTGGCCCAGAGGAAACATTAATTAAGTGCCTCTGAATGCTTTCATTTAAACCTTCATTATGCACCACTTCTTCCTAATTAGGAGAATCTTGGCTGGGAAAAAATGACATTTGAAAAGGTTTTCAAAACAAAGCTACAATGTATAATAGGACTTTTATCCTTTTGAATGCACAGCTTTATGAGTTTTGACGAACATAGTCAAGTAACCACCACCACCACCACCACCATCAAGATACAGAGTGGTTTCATCAGCCCTGAAACCTCCCCCTGCCACTGCATACTCAGCCCTTCCCCCAACCCCGACTCCCAAAAAGCACCTGTCGTTACAGTTTTGCCTTGTCCAGAATGTCATCTAAATGGAATCACACAGGATGCACCGTCCTGAGGTTGGCTCAATGCTGAGCACACCTAAGGCTCACCTGTGTCGCTGCACAAGTCGGCAGTTTTCACGAGTTGGTAGGATGTACAGACGTCTTACAGTCTATCTGTTCGTTTGTAGATTGAAGGAGTTTTGAGTGGCTTCCGGGATTTTTTTTAAATAAAATTCTGCCTTTAAAAAATTTTTTTAATGTTTTGTTTATTTTTGAGAGAGAGAAAGACAGCAATGAGCAGGGGAGGGACAGAGAGAGAGGGAGACACAATTTGAAGCAAGCTCCAGGCTCTGAGCTGTAAACACAGAGCCTGACACAGGGCTCTAACCCACGAACCGTGAGATCATGCCCTGAGCCGAAGTTGGACACTTAACCAACTGAGCCACCCAGGCGCCCCTGGTTTCCAGTTTTTGGCAGTTATGAATGAGCCACTAAAAACACTTGCATCCAGGTTTTTGTGCAGATATAAGTGTCCATCTCTCTTAGGTGAATACCCAGGAATGTGTTTGCTGGTTTGCACGGTGGAATTACAGTTAACTTTTTACAAACCCGCCAAACTGTTTTCCAAGGGGCTGTGCCATTTTGCATTCCTACCAGCAGTGCAGGAGCACTTCTAGCCACTCTGCGTCTTCCTTGGCACTAGGTTTTGCCAGTTTTTAAAAATTTATTATAACCATTCTAATAAAGACTTAAAAGGAAAACATTTTAAAAACAGTTCATTGGATAATTTTTCATAAATGCTGTTAGAGGCTTTAAAAGGAAATGTGGGAGTACTAACCCCTAGGACCTCACCTTCAAATGTGACCTTATTTGAAGAAAAGTTCTTTGCGAAGGAAATCAAAAGGAGGTTGTGAGGGTGGCCCTCATGCAGTGTGACTGCGCCCTTACAAAAGAGGAAATGTGGACACAGGGACAGAAGGAAGTAGTGTGAATGCACACAGAGAAGACGGCCAAGTCCACGAGTGAGGTCCAAGACAGAGTCTGCCGCCAGGCCCAGAGGAAGCAGCCCCTTGGCCTTCCAGCCTCCGGAACCGAGAGAGATTCCATTTCTGTCGTTTATGCCTCCTGGCCTGTGGTACTTTGTTACGACAGGCTGAGCAAAATGATGTGCACACACAACACCACAGGTGAAACATGTATCTTAAGTCTTGAATCCTGTTAGTAAAATGACCTTTCCATCACCTGCCGCCAGCTGAAGACCTGGAAGGTAACCACTGTCTTCCCAGCTCCCTGTGTGCATCTGCCCGAGCCACCCCTCCCCGTGCCACCCTGCCCCATGTGCACCTGCCCGAGCCACCCCTCCCCGTGCCACCCTGCCCCATGTGCACCTGCCCGAGCCGTCCCTCCCCGTGCCACCCTGCCCCGTGTGCACCTGCCCGAGCCGTCCCTCCCCGTGCCACCCTGCGCTGTGTGCACCTGCCCGAGCCACCCCTCCCCGTGCCACCCTGCACCGTGTGCACCTGCCCAAGCCGTTCTTCCCCGTGCCACCCTGCCTCGTTCGCACCTGCCCGAGCTGCCCCTCCCCGTGCCACCCTGCGCCGTGTGCACCTGCCCGATTTCATCCCGCCCTGTCACCTGCCCCGTGCTACCTTGCCCCGTGTACGCCCACCCTGTGCCATCCTGCCGTGTGCCAGCATGGCCTGCCAGCTGGAGAGGACCTCTTTCCCGGGGAGTGAAGTGAAGGGGACTGTGATGAGAGACCACCCACTGCTTTGAGATGTTAGCTGAGGAAGTTATAGCTGGAGTGGGCAAAGAGTACTGGTTTTATTTTCGTGTCTACACTGGGAGAGGCCTGACCAGAGTTAATCTGATGGAAAGGAGCGGTTGGGGTCCTCGTTTGCTTGCTTTCTCCCCTGCTAGAATAGAAGCTCGGAGAGGGGAGGAGTTTTCTGTGTCTCAGGACCCAGCAGGTGGGGACTCCGTGGTAACTGACCGCTGGGCAAGGAGAGGGTGAAGACAGAGCCTCCCCTCGGAAGGCAGTCCGCTGGGAAACCATCACTGGTGGAAGCGTCCTGTGGATGGTGGTGGAGACTGCAGAACAGCGTGGACGTACTTCCCGCCGCTGATCTGTACACTTAAAAACCGCTAAGACGGTCATGTTACATGCGCATATTACCTCCGTCAAGGAAAAGTCATGGATATTCAGAACGACGATCGTGAGCGCTCTCTTATGCAGTGGGCATGACGCGGGGCGCTTCGCACCTGCCTGCAAGGTGAAGTGACCACTCTCTGCGACGGACCTGGAGATAACCTAGGAGAGGTTCGGTCACTCGTCCAAGGCTCCAGCCGGACATGCTCTACAAGCGGAGGGGGTTGCGGACGAGCCGAAAGACATCAAGAGCTCCGTAAGAGCAGGTTACCGGCGCCTCGCGGGGCCTCCGGCTGCCCCCTGCCACGCCCCGCGCCCATCCGCTGGAGGCGGAGTCAACGCCGCTGCGCGCAGAATGGGATTGGCTGCTAGGGAAGGGGGTCGGGTTCCAGGTGCCGGGGGGGCGGGACCGATCTCGGGTCGTAAATACGCCGCCACACGGCACTGGTTGCGGAGGGCAGGGGCGGAGTGCGGAGGGCGCAGGCGCGTTGAGGGTGTAGGCGCGTTGAGGGTGTGCGGCCCTCGGCCTCCGTGGTCCCTCCGTGGGCCACGACTTCTCGCGAGACGTGGAGCGGAAGGCGGGTCCAGGGCTCCGGGGGCGGGGCCGGCGGAGGGGCGGCCTCGGGAGGGTCCGCTGGTAGCTAGGCGCGGCGGCGGCGGCGGCGCGAGGTGAGGTGAGGTAAGTTGAGGCGCACAAGGCGCGGAGCGGCATGCGGGGCGCGGGCGGCGGAAGGGTCCTGGCTCCCTCCTTTAGCTCGCCCGGTGGGTCCGTCGCGCCCCCGGGCCGAGCCCCCGCGCCAGCCACTGTGTGACCTTGGCCCGGCTCGCACCCTCTCTGAGCCCCAGGTCGCCCCGCGCTGCTGGGTGGCGGCGGGTGGGGTGCCCCGCAGGCGCGCTCCCGGTCCGCACCCTCGGGCGGTGCTCGCAGTCGGGCCTCACGCCGCAGTGCTCCGAGGGCCCTAGCGGGCTCCCTGCGTGCGGACCCCGGGCCAGTCGGAGCCCCCCAGCGCCGCGTCTACCGGGGACTGCGGGCCCCTCCCGCCGGCCTGCGCTGGGCAGCCCCGCCAGGGACCCTGGACCGGGCTGCGCTGGGCGCTCTCCTTTCTCGGGGACCTCAGGCCGACTTGCGCTGGGCGCTCCCCCCACCCCCGGGGACCCCAGCTCGGCTTGCGCTGGGCGCTCTCCCCACCCCATCCCGGGGACCCCAGCTCGGCCTGTGCTGGGCACCCCCACCCCCCGGGGACCCCAGCTCGAGCTGTGCTACATCCCCAGCCCCGGGGACCCCAGCTTGGCCTGCGCTGGGCACCCTCACCCCACCCCCGGGAACCCAGGCCGGCGGTGTGGGGGCATGGAGGAGGACCACTCCAGTGATCCCCTGCTCGGAAACAGCAGTTGTGCCTCTCCAACGAAGGGAAGCCATGCACTGGCCACTAACAGAAGGACTTATATCTTCTGCTCGGGCTCCTGGCCACCGACACATCGCTGGCAAGCGGTCGGCCCCGGCGGAGGTTCCGTCTGGCGGGGAGCACAACAAGCCACAGTGTGTCCGCGATTTATTAAATTATTTACTTTATACTTGGACTCGGGAGAGGCTCGGGAGGCCCGGCATGAACGGGGAATGGGGGTGTGCACTGCACTCGCCTTCTTAAGAGTGCTGTGCCCTGAAGTGTGGTTCCAGGCCGAGGGCCGCCTGAGGCCCGGTGCAGGGGTCCTCGCCTGCCCCCACACCGGTGCCGCAGCTCAGCCCTTCTGGGCAAACATCTGGTGTGGGGGCTGTGAGTCAGGCTGGTGTCTGCTGAGGCCACTGTTAAAAACCGAAGTAGAAGGACAGGGTGGAAGACTGAGGGGACACAGTTGGCCTGGCACACTCGGAGGTAACACACTGCCCGCAGTGGTTCGGCCAGGCAGCTGGCCTGCCCTGGGAGGGTGGCTGTGCCATGCGCAGAGAGAGCATCTGCTGCGAGTTGCAAACGTGTGTCGTTTTCATGCAAATTAGTTTGTGGGACTTGGGGTTGATGTTTCCTGGCCCACGGTACTGCCCACCAGTACCCTTGTGTGCTGCCTCATCACTTCCACAGACACTGAGCCTCTGGTCGTTTGCAAGGTGACACGTCGGGCTCACTGCCGGCAGGATGGTTATGCGATTGTCATATGGTGCCACCTCACAGTAGATAATCTAGACAGTTATTTACAGAGTGTGAAGAAAGAGGAACGGTGAGGTTTATTTTCTGGCCTTGGAGTTTTCCATGGTGGAGACGACGTGAAGGTTGGAGAGAACATTCCAGGTGGAAGCAGGAGGGTGTGTGCAGACACGGAAGTGAATGGGGTGTTTGGGGGGGGCACTAGGTCCCTGTATTCACTGTGAGAGGGGGACTGAGGAATGGGGCGGAAGCTAGGGCTGAAAAGAGGTTTCTTACTGAGGAGGCTTGAATGCCATTCTAGGGTTTGGGCTGTTATCCTGATCTTCAGTGAGGAGGCACTCAAGGTTTTGGCTTTCAGAAAAGCACCAGCGGTAACTGGTGGAAGGCGGATTCAGGGTACGGGGAGGTGGAGAATGGGTGGGTACATGTGTAGGGGCGTGGCTTCAGGACAGATGCCACCAGAGTGGAGGGGGGTGGTGTCATAAGACTGAAACAGGAGAGCCCACCATGTGGTGGCCTCTGTGGGGTGTGGGAAAGGGGAAGGGAAAAACTCCCAGGTGGCCAGGAGTTCTCCCTTGGATGCTTAAGGGTGTGGAGGGGTGTCAACGGCACATTTGAGTTTTAGGCTTGCAGGATTTGTGGTGTGTGGGGGCCATGCTGATGAGATAGGCTCTTGGAGAGAGCGGGGTGTCCGGGACAGAAGCCTGGGGAGCACTCGTCCGGGAGGGAAAGATGGTGGAAGGGATGCATGTCACCACGGCTACCGGGTGGTTCTCTTCTAGAAAGATCTGGAGGCTCAAGTGCCTCTAGAGGAGAGGAGGAGAGACCGGTTAACGATAGTGCTGAAGCAGATGCCGCTAGTTCATCATGGTAAGAAACCACAGCTCACAGCTTGTTTTCGATTGTTTAATGGTCTCTCTGTCTTCAGAAACCAGCACTTGGTTTCACACCTGCTTGGCGTGTCTGTGGCTGCAGCCGGTCCCCCAGTCACTTGCCAGTAGATGTACCCAGTGACGACTGACAGAGCAACTCCGTGCTCCCCACCACTACCCCGCCGGCGGCCTCTGTAACCATTTAGAGAACTTTGCAGATGTTTCCGAGAGGAATGGGAGATGCTCAGCAGAGTTGGGGAGCAGCGAAGGTGGGGGGCTGCTCTACAAACACGAGGATGTGCGAACAGGGTCAGGGGCTCCTACACTACCGGCTGGCACTGTTCCCTTCGGGCGGGGCCGGGGAAGAGTCTTTGGGGAGCGTGAGTAGCTCCAGAGATAGGATCTAAAAATAGTGACATCAGGGGGTCCCCCACTAATGAAGTTTATAAGTCATCACCTCCCCCACTGTGGCTCAAAGCTTCCAAGTTCTCTTGGTGCCCTGCCTCTGCAGTAGGAACAGATAACCAAGGACACGCAGAGAAAGCTCAGACTTGGAAGGTAGAGAACGTAACGCACGCTTGCAGGCCGGCAAGGGTGTGTGGGAAGAAGACTGAGGAAGCTGGCTGTCACTGACGTGCACGTGCAGATTAGAGACAGGAGCAGGGTGCCCCATAAACCCGGGTCAGGGGAGCGCTCTAAGAACCCGGATGTGGAGTCCTGGGTATAAAAACACAATGTAAGAAATAAAAAGCTCAGTGAGTACATGCAAGATAAAGTTGAGGAACTGAGGCAGGTGGACAGAAAAGCAGAGATGGGACTGGGAGGAAAGAGGAAGGTCAGGGGTCCGATCAGGAGACTGAGAGCTGAATGGTCTGCGTTGCTGAGAAAAAAAACAGAGAAAATAGGACGGGGCCATCTGCAACACAACGCAGGAGGACTTCCTGGAACCGAACCTTTGTGTGGAAGGGGCGCCCCGGGTGGCCAGCCCTGGATGGGGGCGGTGGGAAGGCAGGGATCCTTCACTCTCTGGTCTCTTCCCTCCCCGGGTGGGTCTTTGCAGCACGAGGAGCAGGCTTGCATAGAGAGGGGTGCCTCATTTCCAGAGTGTGAGTGAGAGTTTGGGAAACAAGGGATTTATTTGGAAACGTCTCTGGGGCTGTGGATTCAGAATTTGGGTAGCGAGAGCGTGGATGGAGAGAGAGGTGTGCACCCACTCCGAGGCACGCTGTTGTGAAATTTCAGGACTCTGGGGCAGAGAGGACTGCGCTGGCTTCTAGAAAAAGCATAAAAACGGGCCACCAAAGGGGCATCATGAATGGAGCAGGGTGTCTGGGGGACCTATCCGCAGCAACATCAGAAGGTGCAAAGCGGGAGAGCGTGGCTTTCAGAATTCCGAAGGAAAACACCTTCCACCTTAACTCTGTACTCAGGCAAAGAAGGGTGGAATAAAGATATTTTCCCCAAAGTTTGCGTCTTGTATACTTTAAGGGAGTGACGGACAAGCGCCCTCCCAGAGTGGGGTGGTGAGTCTGGACAGAGCCCGAGGACAGAGGGTTTTCCTGGAAGGAGAAAGAGAGGCAGCCGGTGTGCAGAGCAGGCCTGACCCGATGGGAAGGCTCCCGGGAGAGCGTTTTGGGGGGCAGGTGAAACCGACAGGACGCCTGATGTGCTGGGACATCTGGAGAGGAGATGTAGACAGCTGGCAGGGCTGGATGCGTACATGGGGGACACAGCAGATGAGAGCACAAGACCGTATTCATTCCAGGGAAAATAAACGGTCGTGCAGGGAGAGGGAAACCCGGTGAGCTGCAAGGCTCAGCTGTGACTAGCCTTTGCCCAGCAATGACAATTTGTGTAAACGTGGAATATTGCTGTGATTGAAATGCTTACGTGCCGGGCTGGGGAAGGTGTGGGGATGAGCGGGGCACGGGTGGGGGGACTGGGGGAGGCAGGGGAAACTGCCCTTGCACCTTGCCCGAGTAGGAAGCCAGTGGGTAAAGCCTATCCTGTTACGGCTCAGGAGGCTGTTACCCAGAGGCAGGAGCTACCACCAAAGATTCAGCTGAAAAGATGAGGGAACAGTATGGCAGCGGGTCCTTGAAGGGCCAGGGGCTGCTGTGTTTTGTAATAAACTCCCTAGAACGAGTTCATCATTTAACGTATAAAGGAGCATCTGTAAGGCTGATAAAAATAGAGGCAGGAGGGGCGCCTGGGTGGCTTAGTTGGTTAAGCGTCCGACTTTCGCTTAGGTCATGATCTCGCGGTTCGTGGGTTCGAGCCCCGCGTCAAGGCTCTGTGCTGACTGCCAGCTCAGAGCCTGGAGCCTGTTTCAGTCTGTGACTCCCTCTCTCTCTGACCCTCCCCTGCTCACGCTGTCTCTCTCTCTGTCTCCTAGAAATAAATAAACATTTAAAAAAAAAAAAATAGAGGCAGGGGCACTAAGCCTTCGGCTCTGCTGGAGGAACAGCCGCTGGTCCTGGCCGGATTTTTTGCATAGCAAGATCACTCCCCAGGCCCTCTTCCTTCTGGGGGACAGCTTACTTGTTCCCATTTCCTCTTCCTCTTTGTCATTGTTCTCTGTATCCTGTCTTCTGGCTGTGGTCACAGAGCAGAGTTTTGGTGCTTTCTTTAGCTATTTTGTTTTTCTTTTAACTTCTTATCAAGGT